TAATACCCTTTTCTTTATATTCATGTAGTTTGGGTATGCTGATTGGCTGGATATCATTTTGATGATAATAGGCTTGATTGCAGCTGTTGCAAATGGGACAGTGCACCCACTTATTATCATTGTCACTGGAGAGATGACAAACAGATTTGTGATGATTGGCCAAGCAGTAAATATGTCTTCAGGTAAAAAAAGTTTATTCAACTTCTGAAAATATTTGTTAGGGTCTCTTATTTACTAGATTGGTAGATGTTCAGGATGGAGTGCTGCTGTGGTGTTAAAGCCAGGAAGAGCATAGTGAATTCTGAGGAGTCCTTCCTTTTTACCCTGCTGTATAGTACAGTAGCAAACTAGACACTTGATAAATTACAGAGCAGTACATTTGGTAACTATAAAATGATTTACTACTTTCTATAGCTTATAGTTAATCCATGGAATTCACTGTCCCAGGAGGTCAGCAAATCAAGTTCTGTGATTGGATTTTTAAAACAACAAAATAGAACCATTAATACTATTTTGCCTCTGTATGAGCTAAGCTTATGATAAGGGCAATCATAACTTACCCTAAAATATATGTGCTGACATCTGGAAAGGGTCTCCTATTTCTCCCAGTTCTGAACAGTTTTGCACATTTGGTTAGGTGCATTATTAGTGAAATTTACCTTTTTGCAGACAGCCAGCAAAAGGTTGAGCCACCACTTGAACCACATTTGGGTTTTGAGGCTTGGGTGGAACCTCAGTGGTGCATAAAAGTCGGAGTTATGGTGTTGGCCTGGATGAATTTTGCCTTATGTGAGGTAGAAGGGGGAGTTATCAACTTCTGAAAAATCAGATATTGGCCACTGTTGGAATCCGAAGGTCAGATCAGATGAAGCTATGATCTCACCAGTGCCCTTTGACGTAGTGAGCTAAATCCATGACATCACTGTACAGTAACTCTCTGAGCTGACTCAGAAGTTTCCCCTGTTTGATCCTCCACTGGAAGGATGATGGCCACCATGAAAGTTAAATCTACAGAGCTGTTGCAGGGAGTGTGGTGTCATACAAAACACCCATAAGATTATGGTCTTAAACAGCCATGATTTCTTTTATGCCTGTTCTAATAAAACTGAATATTTTTCTTTGTTACAGTTAATCTTTCAGCTGTGATGAATAGTAACTCTACTTGTCCAGCAATTCCAGGTTTGGATATAGAAGCTGAAATGAGCAGGTAAGAACCTCTGTAATTATTTCCATAAGAATAGCAGAGTGTAGTTTCTGTATTTTTTTGTCCATTAGGCTGTAAGCCAAATTTGACCCTCAATTACATCCCACTGGCTTGAGCAGGGTTGAACGTGACCTGATGTGACCTTATCTTGCATGATGCAGTTGACCTTATGGACTTTTATTGTTTTACTACAGGTTTGCCTACTACTATGTGGGTATTTCCTTTGCTGTAATGATACTGAGCACCATCCAAGTCTGGACATTTTTGACCTCAGCTGCAAGACAGACAGCAAGAATCCGACAAAAGTTTTTTTTTGCAATACTTCACCAGGAGATGGCTTGGTTTGATACCAGCCAGATTGGAATGTTGAACACCCGACTGACGCAGTGAGAAGGCTCTCTTTATCTGTGCATCAGGAACATGAACCAAAAAGAAGACTGATGTTTACCTTTATAGTATTAGCTACAGGGGATTTCCAGGAAACCTTTTTAACCCAAAATATTACTGCTGTCTGAGGGAGGAATTCGTTATCATTTTTCACTTCATTTTCAGGGTTTCAGTGACATTTCAATTGCGAGGGCCTATGCTGTGAAATGCAATATCTTACTCCTCTGACATTAGCTTTGCAGTGTCTATGAGCGGTTTTGCAAACTAGTGTAGATAAACAGCTCTGCTGTCTCCAGCTAGTTTACAAACACTGAAACCCCTGACACTGTATGAAATGAAACTGCACTCATAGTTATGGGCACTATGTTATCATGTTGAACCTGATCCCAAACCAATTAAAATCATTAGGAATCTTTGGATCAGGTCTCTTGTGCAGGGATTCAGAGGAAGGTCTGATCAGGGTATGAAGAGTTTCTCCAGATTTAATTTTTGCAGGGAGGGATATGCCCAGTTTTCGTAAGATGTGAATCCTGAAGGGAATGAGAGAGGCTTGAATTTCACCAATCCTAGCTCCCACGTATGTAAATAGCAAGAGAAAATTAGTGTGACACACAATGGTTTTCTAAATAATAATTTACTAACACAGTGCTTGTCACTGTATCGGACGCAAAATGGAGATATTCCTTGCCTAAAAGAACTTAAAATCTAATAACAAAATTGAAGAAGATAGAATACACAGGGGAAGTTGGAGGAAAAAGTAATGTAAAGATTTTGGCGGTGAATTTTTGTTTTTGTATGGATTATTCCTTTTGGGTATTGCATAAATGAATTGGGTCACGTGTGAATGAGCCGGGGTAGCAATGGCAGAAGTCTATCTAGAGGTTACATCACAGAAAATGAGTTGTGATCTGCTATTTCCTAGCCCCACAAAGAGTCATTACTGCTGTTCAGTACCCATGTCCAAAATTCCTACTGACCAATGATTTGAACAGTTAAACTTCTGACAAGCTTTTCTCCAGTAAAACAGAAAAATGTGCGAGGAGGAGGCATTCATCAAAGTTAACAAATCTCTTTTTTAATTAACAGGGACATTAACACCATCCATGAAGGCATTGGAGACAAGTTCTGTATATTTGTACAATTCTTTTTTACGTTTCTGACAGGGATTGTTATAGGATTCGTCTACGGGTGGAAACTGACTTTGGTGATTTTGTCAGTTAGCCCTCTCCTTTCTGCAGCAGCAACAGTTGGATCAATCGTAAGTGCTGGGGGAAAAGAAATAAGAATTCTACCTCTAAAAACAGATTGAGAGGGAGTGAACCCCAAAGCAACATGACCCCAAAGTTTGGAGAGCATGGAGAGCAGCCCTTCTCCTACTCCACTCTGCCCCAAAATTTGCAGAGCTCTGTCTACACTGAGCATCAGCAGGCAGGCATTGGCATGCCATGGAGGCCTGGACTGCTTCCAGTCACTACCACTCAGTATATGGGAAGAGAATGATCAGCATTCATCAACTGTGACCACATTAATAGATATTGCTTGTAATGCACAGAAAAATTTACCAAGTGTTTCCATTTATAGGTTGTATTTTGTTTTCTCTCCCCCTTCCCCCCACCCAAGCAATGAAAATGGTGGAGGAAGAAACAGGATTGTGACCTATAATTAAGATAGTTAAGTTACTTACATGGCCTCCATTACTATAGTTTCTGAGTGCCTCGCAATCTTCATTGTATTTAGCCTCACAACACCATGCAAGATCAGGGATTCCCATTTTACAGATGGAGAAATGAAACATGGAGAGAAGTTACTTACCCGAAGTTGCCCAGGAAAACTTTGTTGGAGTGGCGACTTGAACCCAGGTCTCCTAAATTCTAGGCTCTTTCCCTAACTGTTTGATCACCCTTTGTATCAGTATGTAATTTACACCACTTAAACAGATTTCCATAAAATACTTTTCCCTTCCCCCGACCCTCTGAATTTTCCAGTTCCTGGCATCATTCACTACAAAAGAGCTGACTGCTTATGCTAGAGCAGGAACTGTGGCGGAAGAAATGTTGACTGCTGTCAGAACAGTTGTTACTTTCAATGGACAGATGAAGGCATTAGCAAAGTGAGTTTTTTTTAACTAATTATTGATTGTATACAATATTGGGGAAAGTGATGTGGTTATTTTAAAAAAATCGAAGATGATCTGTCAGTTTATCCCCCAGACAGCTGAGAAGTTCAGATGAAGGAAAATATGAGC